GCACATCAATCACTTGGTACAGTTCCTGGAAGGCAGTAAACCGTTAACACATGTCAGGTGTTTTCTTCTCCATCGTCATTATCATCACTCCATAATGAATCTAGGTCTTTACCAATATGAATCCCTTCAGTGACTTCACCTCTGTGGTTCTGAGAAATAGCTGGTATCTTAACAAAGTCTATTTCAGAGTAAAGAACACTACCTAAGGATAGGGAGGGTCATTCCATAATGATAAAGGGGTCAATTCATTAGCAGGCTGTAACAATGCTAAATATGTATTCACCTATTACAAAACTTCAAAATACATGAACCCCAAACTGACAGAACTAGATGCAAAAGTAAGCAAATCCACAATTATAATCAGAGATTTCAGCATCCCATCTAAATAATTAATAGAACGGTAAACATAAAATTAATAAGGGTTTAGAGACCTGTAAAACATGGTCAACCAACTAGACCTAATTGACATTTGTGGAACACTCTACCTGACAACAGCAGAATACATATTCTTAAAGTGCTCATAATATGAGCTCATATTATGAGTCTTACCTTAAAATATGGAATGTTTTACTAATACAGATTATATTTATGAGCCATAAAGTATGCTGCAATAAATATAAAATGACTCAAATTATATAAAGCATATTCTCTAACCACAATAGAGTCAAATTATAAATCAATAACATATCTGGAAAATTTCTAATATTGAGAAACCAAAATCAAACTTCTAAATAACCAATGGGGCAAAGAAGAAATAAAAAAATTAAAACCTATTTGAAATAAATTTCAAAGTACAACATATCAAAATGTGTTGCATGCAACTGAAACAGTACTGAAAGGAAAATGTATAGCATTAAATGATTATGTTAGAAAAATAGAAACATCTCAAATCAATGACCTCAGTTTCTAACTTAAGAAACCAAAAAAAAAAAAAAAAAGAAGAATGTCAAATTAAACCAAAAGTAAGCAAAATAAGGGAAATAATAAAGATCAGAGCATAAATCAATAAAATAGAAAATAGTAATAGAATCAATGAAAGCAAAGCTAGTTCTCTGTGAAAAATTAATAAAAATGATAAACCTCTAGCCATAATTATGAGTAAAGGAAGAAGATATACATTACTAATGTCAGGAAGGAAAGTGATAACATTGCTACTGATGCTATAGATATTAAAAGGCTAATTAGGGAACGTTATTAGCAACATTATGCAAATAAATTCAACAACTTAGGTAAAACGGACAAATTCCTTGGAAAATGCAAACTACAAAAGCTCACTCAAGAAGAAATAGGTTGCCTAAATAGCCCTGTATCTTTAAAAACTTGAATTTGCAGGTAAACACATTCCAAAAAAGAAAATTTCAGATCCAGGTGAGTTCGCTGGTAAAATCTACAAAGCATTTGAGGAAGAAATAATACAATCAAACACAAATATTTTCAAAGCGTAGGAGAAGAGGGAACTTCCCAATTTATTCTATGAAGCCAGCACTAGCCTGATACCAAAATCAGACAAAGGCATTACAAGAAAATTTTAGATCAATATTCCTCATAAACATAGATACATAAACCTTTAACAAAGTTTTAGCAAATCAAATCCAACAATACACAAAACAAAAAATTTCTTATGACTAAGTACAGAAATGCAGAGTTGGTTTACAGCTTGAAAATCAGTAAATGGAATTTATCATATAAGAGACTTTCTTTAAGAAGGGAAACAAAATAATCTCAATAGATGCAGAGAAAGTATTCATTAGATGTTGAAAAAAATAAACATTTATTCCTGATTTTTTTTTTTTAAGTCATCAATCCAGGTGTAGAAAGGAACTTCCTCACTGGGTGCAGTGGCTCAAGCTTGTAATCCCAGTGCTTTGGGAAGCTGAGGCAGGAAGATGGCTTGAGCTCAGGAGTTTGAGATCAGCTTGAGCAACATAGTAAGACCCTGTCTCCACAAAAATAAATAAATAAATAAATAATAAATAAATATTAGCCAGGCATGGTGGTGCATGCCAGTGGTCCCAGCTACTCAGGAGGCTGAAACAAGAGGAATGCTGAACCCAGGAAGTTAACGTTGCAGTGAGCCATGATCACTCCAGTGCACTCCAGCCTGGGCGACAGAATGAGACCCTGTTTCAAACAATGGAAACAACAACAACAACAACAACAACAAAGAACAGAACTTCCTCAGCTGGATAAGGGTATCTATTAAAAACTAACCAACCAACCAACGAAACAAACAAACAAAAACCTATAGCTAACATCATCCTTGATGGCAACAGACTGAATGTTTTCTCCTTTAGATGAGGAATCATGCAAGTTTGTCCAGTCTTATCATGTTAATTCAACATTGCCCAGGGCAACGAAGCAAAAACATACAAATTGAAAAGGAGAAAGTAAAACTAACGTTATTTGCAAAGGCATAATCATCTCTGTAGAAAATCCTGAGAAATCTACAAAGATGCCACTAGAAGTAATAAGTGAGTTTTACAAGGTCAGTACACAAAAATGAACTGCATTTCTATAAACTAGTAACACACTTTTGGAAGCTGAAGTAAAATGATCTACCATGATAGTATGAAGAATATGAAATACTTAGTGGTGAACTTGCAGGAGTTATTCAAGATCTGTACTCTGAGAACTATAACATGTTGCTGAGAGAAATTAAAGAAGACAGAAATAAATGGAGAGATAAATTGCATGTATGGGTCAGAACACTTAATAAGACGCCAGTGCACCTAAACACTGATCCACGGATTGAAGGCAATCCCAATCAAAAACTTAGCAGTCCTTTTTGCATAAATTTTCAAGCAGATTATATAATTAATTTGGAAAAACAAAGAACCTAGAAGAGCAAAAAAAAAAAAAAATTGAAAATAAAGAACAAAAAGGACCTACACTGCTTGATTTTAAGACGTATTATAAGGCTGCAGTAGTTAAGGCAGTATCAGTGTGGTATTGGCATAAAGATACACAGATCTGTGGGATAGAATAGAGTTGAGAAATAGACCCATGCATATATGATTAATTGATTTTCAACAAAATTACCAAGGCAGTTTAATGGGGGAAAGGAAAATCTTTTCATTAGGTGATGCTTAATGGGGAAAGAAAATCTTTTCATTAGGTGATGCTAGAAACAATCTGATGGCTGTAGGCTGAAAAAATCCACCATATACGAAAATATTACTCTAAATAGATTATAAATCTAAAAGTAAGAGTTAAAATTATAAAATGCCCAAGAGAAAATCATTGTGGTCTGCATGGTACAGGCTTTAAAACATGAAACAAAATGCCACAAACTATAAAAGAAAATATCAGTTATTGAGAAGATCAAATTTAAACATTTTGCTTTTAAGAGACACTTAGAAAATGAAAAAGCAAACTACAAACTGAGAAAATGTTTATAAACACATATCCGGCTTGGCGGTGGTCAGCCTGTAATCCCAGCACTTTCGAGGCCGAGGTGGGGTGTGATCACCTGATGTCAGGAGTTTGAGACCAGCCTGGCCAACATGGTGAAACCCTATCTCAGCTGGAATACAAAAATGAACCAGGCTTGGTGGCAGGCGCCTGTAATCCCAGCTACTTGGGAGGCTGAGGCAAAAGAATCGCTTGAACCCGGGAGGTGGAAGTTGCAGTGAGCTGGACCACAATGGTTGCACTCCAGCCTGGGAGACAAGAGCGAGACTTCATCTCAAAACAACAACAACAACAAACAAACATATCCAACAAAGGTTTCTGTCTCAAGAATACACGAAGAACTCACAAAAATTTAAAAAATATGAAAAATGAAAAAGAATTGAACATACTTAAAGAAAATAAATGGATGGCAAATAAACACACGAAAAGTTAGTCAACATCATTAGCCGCTAATAAGGAAATGAAAATGAAAAAATGCAATGAGATGCTACCACCACAAGCCCAGTGGATTGAGTTAAAACTTGTAAACCGACAAGTATTGGGTGCGATGTTAAGTGATTGGAGACTGTATACACTACTTGTGGAAATGCACATAAGGTAAACAACTAATCGGATAACTATTAGGTAGTTCCTTAAGTAGCAAATCCACCTGCCATATATATAATAAATTTCAATTCTCGTATTTACTCTAAGAGAAGTAAATATTCACCTCACAAAGACTTGGACACAACACTCCTTGTAGCAGTTTTATTTGTAGTAACCAAAAAGTGGGAACACCTGAGTGTCAAATAACAGGTGAGGAAGGAAGACGAATTGTGATACAGGCTTACTGTGAATATTATTGGTGTCTTGAGTTTGAATTCATCTAGTGAGTGATGGTTCCTGTTTTTTCTCTTTCTTTCTTTCTTTCCCTTCCCTTCCCTTCCCTTCCTTTCTTTCCCTCCCTTCCTTCCTCTTCCTTCCTTCCCTTCCCTTCCCTTTCTTTCCTTCCCTTCCTTTCTTCCTTCCCTTCCTTCCCTTCCTTTCCCTCCTTCCCTTCCCTTTCTTTCCCTTCCTTCCCTTCCTCTCCCTTCTTCCCTTTCCCTTTCCCTTCCCTTCCTTCCCTTCCTTCCCTTCCCTTCCTTCCTTCCTTTCCTTCCTTCCTCCTCCCTCCTCTCTCTCTCCTCCCTCCTTTCTCTTCTTCTTTCTTTCTTTCTTTCTTCTTTCTTTCTTTCTTCTTTCTTTCTTTCTTTCTTTCTTTCTTTCTTTTCTCTCCTTCTTTCTTTACTTTTTAACTTTTTTTTATTTTTTTGAGATGGAGTCTTGCTCTTTCGCTCAGGCTGGAGTGCAGTGGCACCATCTGGGTTCACTGCAAGCTCCACCTCCCCGGTTCACGCCATTCTCCTGCCTTAGCCTCCCGAGAAGCTGGGACTACAGGTGCCCGCCATCACGCCCGGCTAGTTTTTTGTTTTTGTTTTTGTTTTTTTGTATTTTCAGTAGAGACGGGGTTTCACCGTGTTAGCTAGGATGGTCTCGATCTCCTGACCTCGTGATCCGCCCGCCTCGGCCTCCCAAAGTGCTGGGATTACAGGCGTGAGCCACTGTGCCGGGCCAGTACCTGTTTTCTTTACAGCATCGGACTGTAGGGGAAATCTGTCTGATATCAGAGAATTTAAAATGAAGCACTTCCAAAGGTAAGTGCTGAGGTCTTTTCAGACCCATATTTGTAATCCTCACACCCAGAGTCCATATCTCCATTTTGATTGAGGGATTCAGTCTCATTTCCATAGATTTGTGTAGTTTTAAGGAATATACCATATTCTTTAAGAATGTAAATAAGTATAGTTACTTACTTATCTTCACATCTCAAGCTTCATGTCTTTGCAAAATGGGGAAAAAGGGGGGCTCTTTGACGACACTCGGGGATTTAGGCTTGGGAAATATGGTCAGAAGGCTTGATTTGGTTTCCTACCCTGCCTTCTCTTTGTGTGTCTTTTTATTCATTTTGGATTCCCGGGAGCATGATGCTATCTCTTTGATGTTATTTAAGAAGAAGTAGTGTATTCCTAAATTATAAGAAAATGTGGATTCAAAACTTAGTTCTTCCACTTACTAGCTGTGTGACCTTGAGCAGATTACTTAACCTCTCCGTACCTGTTTCCTCATTTGGAAAATGGGAATAAGCAGAGTACTACCCCCTGGAGCTGTTGAAAGCATGCAAAGCTCTTAACATTGGGCCCACCTAAGTGGACAACAAATGTTTGTTACTCTTAGTACATGAACCCAGTTTCAGGAGAGGGTCTGAAGGTCAGATTCATCTTATCACTCAGTGTTATAATGGTCACTCTCAACAGATGACCACCCAGACAGAGGTTGCATTTTAACATGGTCTTGTTCCAGAAAAGAGATTCTAACTGGGATTTGGGGCATGATTAAATCGGTCTGGGGTAGAGGAAGGGCTGGGAGAAGGGCGTTATTGTCTAAGACCAAATTACGTCCTCATGACAATGAGGACTACATGAGAGACTCATTAAAATGAGCATTTTTTGCTAAAACAGAATAAAAATATAAAGTGTTTTAATAAAAATTTAAAAAATCTGCATCTTTGAGCCAGGCTCAGTGGTACACCCCTATAATCCCAGCTACTCCGGAGGCTGAGGTGGGAGGATCACTTGAGCCCAGGAGTTCGAGACCAACCTGGGCAACATAGCAAGACCCTGTCTCAAAGAAATAAACAAAATAAGCAAAACCAGCATCTCTGAGGGGCAACCTGGGAATCCACATTTTAAGAAACTCTCCAGAAAATTCTCATTTTCAAGAAAGTTTCAGAATCCCTGTCTAAGGCATATATATCAGAATGTAATTTTTTTCACTATCTCTTGCTATGACATTCTTATATTTCTCTCTCCTCAATTTCCTTTTCCTATTTTTGTGTATGTTTGGGCAGGGGGTGGGGGTGGGGTGGGGATTGACCAAAAAAAAAAATCCTTAATTACCTGAAAATTTTTTTCTTATTTTGTTCTTTTCAGGACTTGTATAGCTGCATTTAAAAAAACAATTGTTATACCTTGGCAATAATGTGTATGTAGACTTGTATATTCTGCATCAATTAACATTATCCAAATGTATCTCATCCTGAAACATTTTTTTCTCATGCCTTCTCTTCCTCAACCTTGCCTCTGCATTCAAGTAACTACTCAGTGTGGACAGATAGATGCATGCCTATGTCCATGTTCATACCATCCTACTCAAATATAGATAGATCACATGTTTGAAAATTTGACATATTTTAGTTTCTCTTACTGTATGTATTTTATAAGCACTCTGACATATTTTTCCTGAAAGCTAAATGAATGAATAAACAAAACTAAAAAAGATATGGTTGGCCTATGCCTGTGCTTAAAGCTTCACATGAGATTTCTATAATGAAGAAGGTTGCTTTACATTAATGAGGATCATATTTACTCTTTTAGTCTTACCTGCAATTATTGGGTGAACTCAGGTCTCTTTAGTTCATTACCCCATTAGTGCCTGTCAATAACAGAGAATGTGCCTGAAACGCCCAAGTAGCTGGGAGCTCTGGAAATCTCATCTCTTCTAGTGGAGGGCAGCTCTGGCTTGTGCCGTAGGGAGCTTGGATCCTGGTCCTGTGGGTCACGGCAACTTGGGTCTCTCGCTGAGCCTTAATTTCCCCATCTGTGAAAAATAGCTATTAGGCTAAAGCAGCATTTCTTTCAATTTGCCATGTGGACCATCTGCTTCAAAATCACTCACATGTGAGTTAAAATGCAGATTCCCCAGAGCTCACTCTAGACCCATTGAATCACAGTCTGGGGTGGGGCCCAGGAGCCTTCATGCTTAACAAGTCTCACAGGTGGTTCTCATGGATTATTACAGGCTGAGCAACACAGTTTTGTGGTTAAACATTCTGTGTGGTTGAACTCCAAATTCCTTTCTGTTCTTTCTCAGGCAGAAAGCAATTGACCCGGGCTAGTTAACCTGGCTCTCATCTCCATGCTCGAAAGCTGTGTCAGGCTCCTGGGAGGGGATGCTACCAACACCTGGCTACTTGCCTAGCTGCTGTGGCCTCCCACAGGTCATGGACAGGAGCCAGAGCAACCACAGCTGGCCTGCCCCATAATAGCTCAGACCTCAGGAGGACAGTCCAGCATTGACTGGGCATCCAGTCTTCAGAGGGTACACTGGGCTCTGTCCAGCCTCCTCTTGCAGTCCCTAGGGGGACCTGCCTTTCACCCCAGAGCCTGAGATTAAAGCTGAAATCCTAGGCATCCAACATATATCAGGAACCCAGTGCAAGTTTAATGAATGGATACAGAATACTGAGTGAGTGGTGTACTCTGGGGTGGATACAGTAAGGAGTGTGGGGTGGGATCTTATGTGCAAGCCAGATAGTGGTGGTCGATAAATACTTGTTGAGCAAATGTATGTCACTAAGTGAAATTCAAATACCTGGTGCATAGTAGATATTATCAATGCAGCTATAGTAAGTCAATTTAATACCTGCCCCTGCTTGTCCCCCATATGCTTTCAGCCCTTGACGTTGCATTGTGCTGACCCCTAGCTGTTATATTTACATGTCTTTGGCTGAAGGCTTTCGCCACTGCTTGCAAGCATGGCAACCCAGAAATCCTGGGGAATTAGCTCATGACCTCCAGCAGTCCTGGAACCAAAGACTGATTGAAGTTGGTGTATAAATACCCCAGCTCCCTCACTCCTCAGAAGGATAACTCTGAAACAAACATACTATACTGTCTGTAGGAGTCCCCCAATGGAGTGGAGCCCCAGATGCTCATGGAGGCCATTTCCTTGATAACACGTGCTATCTTTGGCTCCTTTCCTGTTTTCTCTCTCACTTCTCCACTCCACTACTGATATTTCCCAAGATCACCTCACAGATCAACCGCTTGCACTCAAGTCCTTGCCTTAGGGTCAGCTGCTGAGGGACCCCATGCTAGGATGACTGTTGAATTAATGAAGGGCTAAAGATTTAATGAACAGAGGTGGAGGGCTAGCATACTATATGCTTAAAACATAGGAAGCCTTTGTGAGAGGTTGCTGAATGAATAGCATTCAACAAATGCATAGAGTTCAAGGTAGATTTCTATAAATCTGGTACTTGAATTTCTGGTACAAAAATGTGTTTTGAAAAAGTGAATGAATGAATGAATGAATGGTCATTGAAAAGAGTCAAAGGCTAGAAGTTTATGCTTTGGTCCATAGTGTTCAATAAATGCTTTTTGTATGGATAGTGAAGAAAAAAGGAAGGAAGGAAGGAAGGAAGGAAGGAAAGAAGGGAGAAAGGGAGGAGGGAAGGAAGGAAAAAAGGAAGGAAGGAAGGAAGGAAAGAAGGAAGGAAGGAAGGAAGGAAGGAAGGAAGGAAGGAAGGAAGGGAGGGAGGAAAGGGAGGATGGTGTCTCAGAGGCTTGGGGCTTGAAGTAGCCAGGCACTGAGCATTCATGAAGGGGCCTGTAAAACCCCCCATGGTCTGGTCCTTGCTCAGACCACAGGTTCCCCTTGCACCACTCAATCCCTTTTTCATAACACTTCACATCAGCCTCCTTTCAGCTCCAAATCTTTACAAATTCTGTTTCCTTGGTCAGGAATGGTCTCCTTTTAAGATGTGTCTCCTTACACTCAACTAAGTCTCAGCCAAGAGTTTGCTTCCTCTAGGAAGCCCTCCCAGAGTTCTCTATTATGTCACACATATTTATAACTATAACACCTCCCATATCACCTGGTATTTCTCTTGTGTAGTTAGCTGCTTAATGACTGATTCTTCCCAGTGGAATGAAAACTCTCTTCATATTCTCAGGGCTCATCATGGCACCTGGCACATAGTAAGTGCTCAATAAATATTTGATGAAAGCTTATGTGAGTGATGCAGCCATAGTGCCTGGTCTAGCTTTAACCTTAGATCTAGGGCTTTCCTGGGAAGATCCAGGCTTCCAGAAGCTTTCATCTACAGGCATGCTGTTCCCACTCCCACAGCACCCCAAACCAGCCAAATGGCAAAATGCACCCCAAATCTGGGAAAAGCCTTCAACAAATCACCTTAGAATAGTTACAGCTTCTGTCCCAGCCAGCACTGTCACAGGCAGCTTAATTATGGTCATTAGGACCCACATTAAAACATGATTATAACGTAAAATTGAAATTAGCTGTATAACACATCCAAATTTTTCGGTATGCTTATCGATTTTCTTCCCCTGTTAATCAGAGGGCTACAGTAAATTCAGATAGATCTGGTATAATTAAAACCAAGCCTGTAAATTCTAGTGAAAACTCTAATTAGCATCTGTCTTTTGTTAAGGACAGCGAGGTGGGAATGTATATTTTTCCGCGAAACATAATCAGGGCTTTCTTGTTTCTTTCCTGGATCTTTGGTGGGGCAAGTTGTCATTCCTTTTTCAGAGGAATTTAAAATTGGTTTAAAAAAAGATGCAAGTCATAGAGACATCTAAGAAATGCCAAAATAAGAAGTGGTTGGTTAAAAGAAAAATGATTAGCTGAACAGGGTGATTGGAGGCATGTGGATGAAACAATCAATTCAATTGTTCTCTTTTCAGTATGGTGGAGTGACTTTGAAATCAGACAACTTTGAGTTCAAGTCTGAACTCTGCTATTTACTACGTAGGTGATATTGAAAAAGTGTTGTTTTGTCTAGCTGAGCCTCAGTTTCTTCCTCTGTGAAATGGGGATAATGATAGAACCTACCCAATAGGGTGTTTGGAAGGATTAATGAGATTACAGTTTTTTCAGCTTGTAGTAAAATATTAATAATGAAAAGTTGCAGTCATTTTCATCATCATCACCACCATCATTCACACCACCACCATCATCTTCATCACTATTTACATCATCATTATTATTTTCACTTAATAAAGAGAAAACTCTTTCAGTGCTTGTCATGGCTCTAATGAGCTTCATGGCATAGTGAAAACATGACTTTGAATTCAGGTAGCCTTCCACTATGTGCCACTCAGAAGCTATGTGACCTCATACAAGTCATTATATTTCTCTAAATCTGTTTTCTCATTTGTAAAATGAGCACAGCTTTCAAGAGGATGTTGAAGATGTAATGAGGAATGTTGATTATGCCTCGCATGGAACAAGTCATTTAACCAATGTTGACTTCCCATCTCCCATATCCAGTCCTGTATCCTCAACAGACTGCTTAGTTGGTGGTATATCTCAGGCAAGTACAGAATATGAAGTAGTCTCTGGGTTTCTAATCACCAGACCTCGCTAAGAGGCATCCTGTTGGCTTTTCAGTACTGCCTCCTACAAGGCCAGTGTTCCATTGTCACGGCTTTAGTTGTTGGGGAGTGTTTCTGTCATCATAGAAGGGATTGTAGAGCTCATCACACGTTCCACCTGCTCCCCTGCATTTCTCAGCTTTCTTTGTGGCTAGAATGAGGCCGTGTGACTACCTCTACCCAATAGATTATGAACACAAACATGGCATTTCCATTTGGAGAGAGGGAAAGAGCAGTGGTCAGAAAGCCACCACTAGAGATAACAAAACTGCAGAATGAGAGTGACTTAGATCAAGTCACTGCAGGGAAGACAGTTGTCCCAGAAAGCAGCTGAAACCCCACAGGACTTTTGTGAGTGAAAAATAAACCATCGTTGCATTAAGCGACTCAAGTTTTGAAGTTTGTTACAGCGGCATACCCTAACCTGTACTGATTAAAACAATGATTAATCAATCAAGTCAATTTATCTGCTTGTGGTTCTTGCTCTGAATGCATTAGTGGGTTGGCGGATACTGCCCTTTCAGGGGCTGATGGACTTACTTCCAGAGCAGATTTTGGGTAGAGTAGATGGAACCTGGAACTCCTGAGTCCAGAGATCTGCCAGGACACTCATGCCCTTTTATGTAATCTGAAGCGGGTCCCTTACAGTTCAGATGCCTTAAATGGCTGAGAGGAAGGAACGTGGACAGCCTGAAACATCAGGGGCGTCAACTGGCTCCTTTATAGTCACAAAGCCCCCTGCACATATTGGGGTGCCCAGTGGAATTAACATGTGAAATGCCATGGGCATCTATTGTTTTCCCTGACCAGAATCCACACTCACCTTTATTTGGATACCAGTACCTTAATTTTGTTTTGAAAACCACTCATCGGATGCAAGCTTGGTGGGCTTTTCAGTCAAAAGGCACCATCCTCATTTTCCCAAAAGGAGGCACATGGCTTAACCTCAGTAGTGATTCATGCCAAAATGCAACCACTTTGAAGAAGTGGGGAGGGTCCCTGCTTCCTAGATCCTCAGAACTGCTTTGGTGCTCTCCCGGGCCTACTTTTTCAACTGGTTTTGGTCTGTGAGATGCTCCTATCCTTCTAACAAAGCCCTCCCATCCTTTTCTGGTTGAATGTGGTCAGCACCAGTTCCTTTCCACCAAAGAACCCTAAGAAATGTGTAGTCATGAATGTCATCCCATATCAACAAAGCCCCTGTCATACGCTGGTGTCTTGCTGCACTCTGTTGTCTCGTTATTCTAACCTTGGAATGTATTTTATGTCTGATGTAAACATAATCATAAGCAAAGTAAACATAACTCAGTAGATAAGGAAGATGTGGTTTTATGTATTCACTCAACAAACATACTGTGATTGCCAACTATAAGCAAATGCACTTCTAGGTACTAAGAATAAAGCAACAAATGAAACAGATTTTTTAAAAAAAACACCACCCTCATGAAACTGACATTCTAGTTGGAAGAAGCAGACATAAACTGCACAAATAAGTAACAGTATGATTGCACACTGAGATGTGCAATGGGCAAATAAAACAGGGCAGGAGGATGGGGAGACCATGGAATAGGAACCAGGGGCAGATGAAGAGGGATTGCAATTTTAAACTCCTTGTTCAGGGAAGACTTTGCAGAGATTTGAGCAAAACCTGGATAATAGAGTTGTATGTTCTCTTGTTCATGTCTCCAAATTCCATTTTGCAGGTGATTCGGCTTATAGGGTTGTTGTGGGAACAGGATCTGACACTTGATAAGAACGCAATAAACATCATCTGGAAAACGAGTTCGGAGGAGACGCCATTCAGATGCCAAGTCAGTTCGGGTGTGTGGGGAGCATCCGCACTCACTCTCCAATCCTGAGCTGTCACCCTGAGGCTGTTGCATCCCAGAGGCCCCAGGCAGAGCCCCTCCTCCCTCAGGTCCTGGGAACTGCTAAGGCTGAGGCCTCAGAGGTTTTTGGACCTTCAGATCACCAGACCCTGACCCAGACTGCTCTAATTAGGGGCATCCAACAGAGATGGGGAGAGGTGGGGAGAGAGAGAGAGGGAAAGGGAAAAGTGGGGAGGGGAAGAGAAAGAGGAAAGGGAGGGAGGAGAGGGAGAGGAAAGTGAGAGAGAGAAAGAGGAAGGAGGGGAGAAGAGAGAGGTAGAGAAAGGAGAAAGAGGAGGAAGAGAGAGAGAGAGAAAAGAGAGATGGTGGAGAGAGAAGAGAGAGAAAGAGGGGGAGAGAGGAGAGAGAGAGAGAAGGGAGAGACAGACAGAGGGAGAGAGAAAAGAGAAAGAGAGGGGAAGAGAGAGGAAAGAGGGAGGAAGGGAAGTAAGAGATAGTGGAAGAGATAGGGAGGAAAGAGAAGAGGAGAGACAGAAGGAGGGAGAGAGAGCAAAGAGGGAGAGAGAAAGTAGAAAGAGATAAGAAAAGAGAGAAAAGAGAAAGAGAGGGATAGAGGGAGAAAGAAAGGGGGAGATGGAGGGAGAAGAAGGAGAGGAAGTAGAGGGAAGGAGGGAGGGAGAGAGAACAGAAAAACGGTGTACTAGAAGGGAGGGGAGTGTAGAACCCTCGCTGGAGAGAAGCAGGTAGAACTGTGGGTCCTCTGTAGTGGGTTAGTGGCTTTGACCCAGGTGGCTAGGGTATAGCTCCTCTAACATCTGCAGCTCGTCCCTGCTGCCCTATCCTGCCTACATTCAAGAAATAGTGCAGGGCATGGATTTGGGATATAGACGAACCTGGGTTCACCTGGGTTCAAACCCCGTCTCTGCCATTGCCTGGACAAGTGAACTTGGGCAATCTACCACTCTTTCATTCTCAACTGAATAATACCAACTTACAGGTTAAAGTGAGGATCATGATGTGGTTTACGGAAGGCACGCTGGCATGTGCCAAGCACATAAGCGGTGCTTAGTCAACATTCTATGCTTCTGTTATCACTCTAACCAGGTTTGGGGATCAGCTCTGTCCTGGCTCTGGGTTCTTGGACTCTGCGGTGAACTCAGCCCCTGAGGAGACCCCTGGTCTCTGCAACCTTCATGCAAAGCCCTGGTTAGGGTTCTGAACAGGAACTTTCTGCGCAGAGGCTCTTAGTCCCAGCTGAACACTGGAATCACGTCAGGGACTTTAAAAAAATACAGATCCCTGGGACCTCACCCAGAGAATCTCACATGATTAACTCAGGGTGCAACCTAGGCATCTGAATTTTTAAAAGCTCCATGGATGATTCCAAAGTGCAGCCAAAGTTGAGAAGCACTGTCGAGGGCTTTGATTTAATCTTCCATATTTATTCCTAAAGAAGGAGATATACCCAGACACCATTTCCTTAGGCAGACTCACAGACCACCAAATTATTATTGTTTTTCAAATTTCGTTCCACAAGCATTTGTTAAGCATCTACTATGTTCCTGGAACACTGTTAGACGCTGAATAAGCACTGTTCCTGCCCTCAAGCAGCTTGAAGTCTGGGTGGCCATACAGTGAATAAACGCAATGCTTGAGAAAGCCACAGCAGCGGTGAGGAAAGAAACATCACCCAAATGCAGGAATGTGTGGGAAAGAAGCGGGTGCAGGGTCACACCTAAAGCACAACGTGGAAAAATGAATAGCAGTTTTCTCTGGTAGAGAGGTTGGGGGAAGGTGGATAGCCCAGGTACCCTGAACAGCATGAACAAACGTGGGTTGGTGAAAAAATTCTAGGGAGAAGGGACAAAATGAGGAGGGAAATTGCCTATAGGCAGGGCTATATAGCAAAGAGAGAAAGGGTAGGAGAGGAAGCCAGGTAGCAAAGGTCTTACAGCCAGGCTTAGATCCATGGGGTTCATATTATGGGAACTGGGGAGCCATGGAAGGCTGTAGGTTAAGGGGAAGCCTTTATCCTGTGCTTAAGACTTCAGGGTGTGGCTGCTGTTAAGTGCTGGGGTGTGGGGCATCTGAAGAAGAAAAAGTCTGTGCTTGGCAATTTCCTCTCAAGTAATTTTATTCCATTCCCTTCCATCATGCAGCAACCTGAAGTTATCCTGAGAACAAACGTCACTGCCATGGAAACAGTAAGAGAAACAAACAATGCGTGCACTGTATAAAATTGTCCATAAAGGCTGTTTATTTTTCATACCATTATTTTAATAGGTGGGGATGGTAGTGATGGGCTGGAGGAACAGCAGGCTTTAATGGTGCCGCTAACGTTGCCTGTTCTTACAATGACTTCAAATGCTCACAAACATTCAGCCATTGGCACTTAGATCATGTCTCTGGCTGGGAACTCCCGCTGGTTTAGAATCTCACTGCCAGGAAGCATCACCTGTTCCTGGAACTGAAAGGCAGTATGGCCAAGTGGTTATAGACTCAAGCCAGAGGTCAGACAGCCCTGGGTTCCAGTCCTACTTCTGTCATACTTACTGATTGGTGACTGTTGGCAAATTTCATTACCCCTCCGAGCCTCTGTTTACTCATCTGCGAAGTGGAAATACAGTCGTTCATTTATTCCTTCATTTGAAAATTAACAAGACTTCACTGAAAACTTGCTATGTGCTTTGTTCTAAGGGTCCTGGCATTCATTGAGCCTAAAGTCTAGTGGGAGAACAGAGATAATATACCTGCAAACACATAAATAAGAGAGATCATTGTAGATAGTGATATAGGCTAAGAAAGATTTAAAGCCAAGGTTGCTCTCTCTGATGAGATGCCAGTCTAGCCGGCCACAGAAAGAGGAGAAAGAGCCAGCTGCTTATATATCAGAAGGAAAGGCCTTCCAGGCAGGGGCACAGCAAGAGGGAAGTCCTGGAAAGATCTAAGATTAGAATCCTTGCAGCTGGGGCTTTATAAAAGGAGGTACGAGATAAGGCCAAATAGGGAGGAGAGACCAGTTCAGACGGGTCCTATAGGATAAGGTAGGAGTTTGGGTTATAATAATACTAACCTTCTAGAGTGGTTGTAAGGATTACATGAAATATCAAGTGGTAAACTCTAAGCAGCTGCTTAAAAAAAGTCAGCTTTTACTTTCATCAAGACAACCATAGTAGAACTCATCATCTCTTGGGTCTAGTTGCTGACATCATAGAATTATTGAATTTCAGAACTGAGAGATCATTTTTCCTAATTTTTCATATGGGTGAATTAAGGATCAGAGTGGGCAAGGGACTTACAGAAGTCACACAGGACTTAGTGGTGGAGGCTCTGGGCTTTCCAATTTCCACCCACTGTCCATTGAGCTCAAGCCCATGCCATGATCTCTATGGGGAAATTCCTTGGCTTCTGTTTCTGCTGGGTGGTACTTCCTTCTAGGGGACAGTGTGGGGTCATGAAAAACCATAGACTTGGTGCTGTGAGTGTGTGGCTTCTCCCTGTGAGCCTCGGAGGCTCCGCAGACATTAGTCCTTCTTCCCTCCTCCTGACACAGAGGCTGTGTCTGTCCTCTTGTGTCCTCCCTGGCACAGAGGCTGGGCTTTGACTGGGGAGCTGAGAGAAAGGACAGGCTATTGATCAGTAGGGACCTGACCCAGTCTGGCCTTTTCAATATTCCATACTAAGAGAGGGGTGAGATTTGAGAGGAAGTCGAAGGGCTGGAGAATGTTCCTGTAATTGAACAGAACAGTGCTGCCTCAGTTAATTTTGAGTGAGGAGGCTCACACAAAAAAATGGGTCAGATTGACCAAGCCCCTGATGGGTTTGGAAGTTTTACTTATTCTGCACCCTTAACCCCAGCTGGACTTTCCTCTGGGTCTAGACATCCATGAAGACACCTAATAAACCCTATGAGAGAAGAGATTTTTCTAGTATTTGGGTTCCATTTTTCATGTACAATTTATATAATACTTAATCGTTGCTCCTGTTTATTGAGCACCTGCTACAGGCTGGGTAATCAGTTCAGCACTGAACATGCATCCCCTCTTTTACTCCCATAACAACCCTAGGAACTAGTTACTAATATTCTTCACCTTAAACGACACGTAAATCGACTTTTAAAAGTTACTCACATAGGAGAGAGCTCTGATACGTCTGACTCCAAATAAACCTGCTGATTCCAAAGGGCACATGGACTTGTGGGGTCCCCAAACACAAAAGTCTTAGAAAAACCCATAGATGTGTGTCGCTGTGCTGATGCAGCCTGTTCTTTATGGACTGAAAAATGTATGTGTTACAGTTTCTAATGCCAACAGAGTGTATAAATATACACAGTATCTTTAATTGATTTTTCTTCTCACCTTTGAGGCCCAAGAACATAACCCTTAGTCAGGAAAATATCCCAGCTGGGTTTGCAGGAACTTGACTGTGGGGGCCCGATCCAATCCAATATGTTTGTCCCTCTCTTTCAGTCTCCTCCACATTCCTGATGGTGCACCGGTTTTCCTTCCTGTCTGGCCAACAAGCCTCTGGAGAATGGCCATCCATCTTATAGGCTCACTTTGTATTCTGTAAACTTTCAGTTTGAAAATAAACGCACTGTTTCCCTGTCAAAGCTCTGCTGTGCATGGGTATTTCTCAAGAGCCAGGGTGGATGGTACAGACAGACCGAGCATTTCCAAGGAAACCAAAGGGGCATAATTGCTTCTTTCCAGGTAATGTGGATGCACTGGATGGGGTCAGCTGCGTCACAGTGGATCATTTTCTTGTTAGCATCTGGCCAAAGTGATGTGAGTACCACGGGCTTCCTGAATGACGCTGCACAGGCCCATCTGCAAGTTACAAGGACCAAATTGAAAATAGATCATGGAGACACTAGTTGGATACTCTGCCTTCCCTTGAAAGATCCACGGTGGGTTTGTCTCCTGAGACACACTATTGCTGGCACTTTTTTTTTCTTTTATTTTTTTTCTTATCTTTTTTTTCTTCTTATCCTTTAAGATGTCTTTTTTTTTTTTTTTTTTGTATTTCATTTTTACCCTAAGACAAAATATTTTTCTCTTTTTTTCTCTCAGTGATTAAAATCTTCCCATCAACCAGATGTTCCTAAGGGAGATACACGCTGCAAGGTTTGGCAGGGCGGGGGTGTGAATAAATGTACATTGATGGAGGCAGTAGTCACTGAGCACAGGCTGTCTGATGACCTCAAAATCACGTCCCTGATTAATCATGACCTGAGTAGACAAAGACATGGGATCACACACACATGATGACAATGACTTCCATTAATTGCAATGACCCTGTTTTAGCCTCAGGACCTTGCACTGGCTGTGTTCTCCACCAGGAATGTGCTGCAATCTGCGCTTGGTGTCTGTCTCATTGTTCCTTTCTCTACTTGAATGTCTCCTATTCTAGGAACCCATCCCTGATCATTCAAAAAGAACTTGCCTCTTTTACTCTCAAATCACCTTGCTTTATCTTCCTCATCGAATTAGAGCTCTCTCAAATTCCCATTTATTAATGACTTTATGGTCTATTTGTCATCTGTACAAAATAGGCTCCAGAGAGCAAGAACTGTGTCTTGTTCACTGCTGTATCGTCAGTGCCCAGGACAGTGCCTGAATAGGCACTATCCTAAGTGCTTTATAATGATTGTGTCATTGATTGCTGAATGATAGCCTTTTGTTGAAATCATTACTGGAAGGTTAATTCAGTTGTTCAAAATCATAGCACTGTTAGTTAGTAGCAGATCAACCATTCAAATTGAGGCTGGTTGGGTTTGAAGGCCTAGGCTTTTAACCACTCTGCTAAACTGCCTCCCCTGGCATACAGCATTAATTTTGGAAGCGATCTGGGCCCTTGTCTTGCCAGACTTCACTAGACTGTCAGCCCTGGAGAGCCAGAGACAGAGTCTGTTGCATCCACAGCACTCAGCACTGTTTGCCACATGGTAGCCATTCAATAAATAGTAAATGCTCAAACAGTATTTGTAGATAGATGGACAGATGGGTGAGTGGGTGGGTGGTTGAGTGCATGGACGGGTGGATGAATGGATGAATGGAAGGGAGGAAGGAAAGAAGAAAAGAAGATAGAAAGGGAGGAAAGAAGGAAGGGTAGGTAGAGGGATAGATGAATTGTTGGATGGATGCATGGGCTAATGAATATAGGGATAAATAGGTGGGTGTGTAGATAGGTGGGTAGATGAATAGGGAAACAGAGTCCCAGAGAGACTGACGACTCACTTAATATCACACAGCACTAGTCTTTCGTCCATCAGTTCATGGGATCTTCTCTATAACCCTAGGAAACAAGTGCCGTAATACCCCTCATTCACGAGGATATTATTATCCATTTATGTCGATCACTCCATGTGATAAGTGTTATTTTTATCCCTACTTCTCAGAAGAGGAAAATAAAGCTCAGAGAGGTTAAGTAACTTGCCCTTGTCATCCTGTAAGGAAGAGGTGAGGCTAGGCTATCCTTTGTCACTATTGTACTAATTTTAACCACATAAGAGCTGATGTCCTGTTTATCACATGACAAAATATAAGGTGAATAGAATTGTAGGCACACATCATCTAATCAGCAGAGAAACTAAAATTATCTCCCCAGCAGCTTTGGGTAGCAGGAAGGTCACCCTGACACTAGAATCTAGGCAGGAAGTGCCCTGTTAGACCACAAACGTCACTGCCATGGAAAGAGTAAAAGGTAAAATGTAAACCAAGTGTATGATATCGAGCAAGTTACTTTGCCTCCCTGGACCTCAGTTTTCTCATCTGTAAAATGGCTATCAAAATTGTGACTGCAGATTTTCATCTGCAAACTGTTCTAGTCCCTTTCGGAATTCTATTTCTATTATGCTATTTCTTCTTCCAAAAATAGTCTTGATATTGCTCCTAAATAATCACTTTACATTCCCAACATCACAATCTCAGATAATCGGGTCTGTGTCCCATTTTCTCAAGACTTTTCTCTGTGCCTTGTTTCAGCCAGCAAATGGAATGGGTAAATCTCTGTCCATATGTTCCATGGGTTCATGGTTTACAGTGTCATTTCTTCTACATAAGACACCTGCATGCAAGCAATGCTCTAGAAGTTCAATGTACTTACCAAAGTGAGTAACCCCAGTGATGGGCTTTTAGTGATTGTGGCCCTTCTGGTAGTGAGGAGGGGTTGAAGCTTCAGGAGGTAGCAACCAAATCATAGCACAGAGGCAGCCACCAAATTTCTAGGAAGTAGCCTGTGAAAGTTCTGGCTCTGTAGTCAGGGCTGGCCTTGAATCTGCCAAATCCCACTGCTGCCTGACTGAGTGACCTTGGCTGGGTTAGGACCTTCCACAAAAAATCAGATACTTATCTGTCAGATGGCAATAACCACAACTCATTATCAGGATGATTATGAAATTGAAATGAGAGACCATGCTCAGTGTAGGACAGCACCTGGCAAACAGTGGATTCTTTATACAATAGTTTCCTTTTCAGTTGGGTTGTTTGGTTTTTTTTTTTTTCTTGTAAATTTGTTTAAGTTCCTTATAGATGCTGGATATTAGACCTTTGCAGATGCATAGTTTGCAAAAATTTTCTCCCATTCTGTAGGTTGTCTGACATTACTGGGTATATACCCAAAGGAATATAAATTATTCTATTACAAAGACACATGCACACGTATGTTCACTGCAGCATTATTCACAAGAGCAGAGACGTGGAATCAACCTAAATGCTCATCAATGAATGAGCATATACATATGGTACATATACACCATGGAATACTATGCAGCCACAAAAAAGAATGAGAGCACGTTCTTTGCAAAAACATGAATGGAACTGAAGACTAATATCCTTAGCACACTAATATAGGAACAGAAAACCAAATATCACAAGTTCTCACTTATAGATGGGAGCTAAATGATGAGAGCACACAGACACATAGAGGGGAACGACACACACTGGGGCCTACTGAGGGTGGACGGCAGGAGGAGGGAGAGGATCAGAAAAAAATCACTATTGAGTACTAGGCTTAATACCTGGGCGATGAAATCATCTGTACAACAAACTCCCACAACACAAGTTTGCACACATAACAAACCTGCACACGTACCCCTGAACCTAAGAATTAAAAATAGTTTCCTTGCCTCCAAGTATGGAGCTAACCTATCTCTTTGTTTTTCTCTCGCTCACTTTCTTCCCTTTCACCTCTTCCTCTATCTTCCTTGCTTCTTTATGTTTCCATTGAACGAGTCTCACTGAGCACCCACTGCATGCTAGCACTATACTATACAGAGCCTGAGTGTACAGCCACAAACAAACAGGCAAGGTCACTCCACAGAGAGGTGGCAGCTTCATACAGTAAAGCATAGAGTGCTTCATCTTCTCCAAAGGAGAAATCAGCCCTCCCGCACCCCTGCCTTGGCCACCTTCTTTATAAAAACCAGTTAGGTTTACTGCCAGGAATGGAAACCTCTTGCAGCCAAGGATAGGATTTTATAGGGGATTCTCTGTCCCCCAAAGCCTGAGGCAGGTCTGGGCCTATAGTGAGTGGCCTGTAAAAGAGCATTGTTTCAAAGAGTAAATGGGGAAGCTCTGGGTGTGGAGAGTCTTCTGAAACCCTGGGCCAGAGTGCCCCCACCCTTCCTCCTCCATCCAGTGTTCACCTCCCCCACCCATTCTTTCTAGGGACTCCCGGCTCCACCACGCTGCTAAAGACATATTCCTCCCCCTGTTGCTGCCTGCAACCTTCTCTCCATCTGCTCTCTCTGCCTGTTCAGGCTGCAGTGTGTAGATAGTATGGCAAGGTAGGGTAGTGGGAGGAGGACAGCTTCTAAATTGGGTGAGAGGCCTGCAAAGCCTGACCGGTCTGCCAAGGCTAGGCAGGGAGAGACAGTCAGTCTCCAGGACTATGCATAAGCTTGTCCCCACCTAGCTCTCCGCCAATGTCTGTCCCCAAGTATCTGCTTGTCTCCCTCATTGATTGTCCCTCACTATCTCTGTTTGTGGAGAAAAGACACGTTGCTTGAGAATCAGGCCTGGGCAAGAGTGCGGCAGAGGTGGGCCTTGCAGTCCTGCTCAGCTGGGGAAGCAGGTACAGGAAGAGGTAAGGGGCTGACCTGAGAGGAAGCCTCTCAGCTCTAGTGGCCTGCCGGCAGTGGGGTTATGGGAGACGGGGCTCAGATTAAAAAGTAGAGATGGATCTTAATTTAGAGTTCGTGATTGGGCTTCAGAGGGGTCCAGACCCCCTCCTGTTAGGTTGCAGCCACAATTTTGTGGCTATGTGTAGTGTTCTAGTAGATTCACAGATATCACCAGATCCAGAGAGTTAGAGACTTTCTAGGTTATGGGGACTCACTTTGGAAGCAGCGGGGCCCTGGCGGGGAAGCAGGCTGGCTGGATCCCAGAGGGGCCTGGAGAGAACTGGAACTGGGATGTATCTGGAAGGCTGAGCAGGCAATGGAAAGCTCCGGGCTGCGCATAAGCTCGGTTTCCAGGCCTCCACCTCACCGTCTGGAAAATGGTCCGGGTGCTCTCCAGCCTGGCCTGGCCAGGCAGGGCTGCTGGGAGTGTCAGCAGAGAGAGAAAACGCTCGGCTCCCAGGACGCAAAGGGAATTGGCTTTAAACTTTGCAGGGCCGACGGGCCGGCGGCCAGAGGTGGCGGCTGGCACCCCCGGCGCCGCCGCGGCCCCTCCAGCTAGCTGCCCGCTCGCCCGCCCCCTCCCTCCCTGCACTCGCTCGGCACAGACTCGGCCCCAGCCCCCTCCCTCCTCCCGCTCGCTCCACGCTCGTTCGCTCGCTCGCCGGCTCCTCCTCACTCGCCCGCCCGCGCCCGGCGCAGCTCGGCCAGAGCGACCGCGGGGCTGAGCGCGCGTCCGCTCGGGGGGCTCCGGAAGCTGCCCCGGCCCGCGGCCCCCTCCCTCGCTCCCGCCTCCCCTTCCTAGCTCACCGCTGCCTTCCTTTCCCGGCTCCCGCGCCGTCCGCCCGCCCCGCAGCCCGAGGCTCCGCGCCCCCTGCAGCCACGATGCCCGCGGCCCGGCCGCCAGCCGCGGGACTCGGCGGGATCTCGCTGTTCCTCGCTCTGCTCCTGGGGAGTCCGGCGGCAGCGCTGGAGAGAGGTAAGCGCCCCGAGGGGCGGGGCGGGGAGGGGGCAAAGTTGCCGGGAGAGCGGGGCGGCCAGGGGTCAGGGCTGACCAAGGCGACTCAGGCACCACCCGCCGGGATGGGGAGCGGTGGTGGCTGCCCAAATTCAGGGCTAGGAACCGCGCGTCCCCTTGGCCCGGGCTGATGGGAGTGTGGAGGTGGGGATGTGTTGAAGGACTCGGACGCTTCCCTGCTTCGGCTGCGGGCTTCCTTTTGGTCTTCCCCGGCTGTGAGGCTGATTCTCCTTTGCAGCCAAAGAGGATCTCCTTGGAGTGGGGTCGCCTCCAAACCCCAAATTCCCGGAGCTTCTCTGCAACCGCACCCGGGGCTGGGTGCCAGATAATTCTCTTCCTCTCGGGGAGAGGACAGGAAGGGGGGTGAGCAGCTGACCCACCCTGCAACTGAGGACTAGACTCAAACAGTGCATTTGCCGCTCCCCCACGACACCTCAGAAACCCTTGACTCCTTTGGTTCAGGCTGCCCCGAGGGGCTGTGTTCCTGGATTGATCTCAGCCAAGCGTCAGGATACCGGACTTGGGTGTGGCTTTCGCCAGAGGCCGGTGGAGGGGGTTGAGGGCTCTGAGAACTTGGTAGGAGAGGGAGAAGAGATATTAGTTAGCAGCTGGGAACCTGAACGGACTCCCCTCTACTCTCTTCCCGACAGCCTAGCATCTCTGATCACTGTTAGGAATGGGGATGGGGGGTGTTAGTTTCACCTACCACGTGTTTGCTGAATGGGAAGAGGGGCCCAAGTTTAGCAGAGAATGACAGCTCCTCCTTCTCAGACCTGGAGCCATACCCTCTGTCCACCCCGGTAAGGTACCCCAGGAAAAGTTATGGGTCGGGGAGAGGGCCAGATAGAGAGAGGGGTGCAACGCCTAACTCACCCAAAGCTAACCCTCAGAGCTTCGGGGGTTTTCTCAGGCACCTTGGAGACCCGAAAGTCAATGGGAGCGTTAGTTGGCCACCGGACCCGGCCTTCTTGCAAGGTCTAACTCCAGTTCCCAGAAATGCACTCCTCACGTGTAAAAAAGCAGGCAGCTGCAGGGTCTGCCCAGGCTGAAGACAGAGGGAGAGCGGGCACTGTGCTCATCTGGGGCACCGCCTCTGTCATTTGCACCGTCTTGACTCAGAGTTGGGGGACTGGCGGTGTTCTTTCCCGGGCAGTTCTGGACCCCTAGCGCGCACACACCTGCTTTCAGCACCAAAGGCCCTGGACAGCTCTCCGCTCCATGGGCCCTGGCTCTGGGTTCCTTTCCCTTCAACCCTTCCCGGTGGCCTGGAGTGCCCCCCTCAGCATAAATCAGGCATTTTATCCCCCATCTCCCCGTCTTTTTAAATGTAGAGCCCGGAGTGCAGAGCAAAGGAAATTATTCATCACCTTTTGTTTAACAAAGCATATCATTGAAGAACCCCCTCCCCTTTTTTTATGAGGCCATGATATCCACAGTTTACACCAGGTCTGGACAATTTCTCTGGGAAAGATAGGGAAAGAGATTTGGTTTAAACACATCGTTTCCACCACAGCATGGCCTTTCTTAATTAGCTGTCTCTTTCTAACAATGGCTTGGTGGCCTTGAACTGAGTCCAGCTCTCCCTCCCCCACCCCCTTTTGAATCTGTGTTGTGACTAACACACATATAAAAAGAACCTGAAGCTACACAGCAGCTTACTGGATTTTCTAAAGCAGCTCTACCTTTGAGGACTCCACTCTCCAATACACCACCTTGCAGGGGAAAAAAAAAAAATTGTCTTAATGGCACGTATTGAATTGTCATCTAAGACAAGGATTTCCTATTCTGTTTCCTTCACTGGCTTCAAACACATTGTAAAAGCAGGGGGATACATGCGTGTGTTTAATTTTTAAGACGTTTCATACTATTTTTCCAACTGCTCAACACTATGGCTAGCCAGCATATTTTTAAAATTAACTTCAGGTCACCACCAAATTAAAGTCAAGTGATGTGCTGCTTCAGAAAGCTCATTAATAACTGTGTGGTTCTGATTCTGAGTCATAAGGAAGGAGTGAGATTGGCCAATGAGCATTGCCGAGTCTGGTGGTGCATTTGGAGACAATTGACCTTCCGCGATAAGTTCTGTTTTTAATATAGAGCCCAACATCCACTCAGATGGAGAACCATTCACCTAACTCGTTGTTGCAAACTAGTTCTTCTGTTTGTGGTGGAGTGAGGGGATTTGTAAATACTCAAAAGGGACTTGTTGCTACATTCTTATGCAGGTCACGTGGTTCTCTGGGCCATTTCGCTGTAAGGCATGAATAAGTATAAAGTATAACTTGTTTTTGAAGAGACTCCTTATTGTCTAAGATATGCACATGGGGAATAATTGTAGCTGCGTGCTAAGACTGCAGAGTCTAAGTATAATTTCTTTTCTTTTTCTCTTGAATTAATAAGGCAAATTCAGTATTGCTCAATAAGACTCAGATTTGCTGCTTCCCCAGTCTCTAACGTGTGTTGTTGTTAGATTCACTTAAGGACTATTTTCATTACGGATTGGCATTATTTTCCGTACAGTTTTGCCCGTTCCTGCCAGGGGCCACCTTACCTAAGCTTGAGGGATTCATCTTGTGTTCATATGGCTCAGTTGGGTGTTAGGAAAATAATGTTACATTCCTTTCCTTCCCCTTCCAAGGCAAAAGGATATTTTCTGATCAGAGTGGCTTGTTTTCTTGTTTTTGCTTACAAGTTCATTCCTGCAAGCTGTTCAAACGGGCTCGATTTACTGGCCCTCCTATTCTGTCCAGAGACAATTTCTCCAATATACCCACGGTGCAGACCTCCACTAGGGGCGCTCCAAGCTATAATTGGCGACTAAGGGCAGAAGAGGGGAATTCTGACCTGTGGAACAACCAGTTGTGTGCAACACCAAAGGTCAGCAGAATGGAGCTCCTCTCAGCCTGGAGGCCTTGGCATCATCTCTCCCCTCCCTCTTTCTGCTTACTCCATTTGATTCCTGTTTCTCAAAAAAAAATTATTGGTCACTCTTGACACACGCAGGGAAAAAAGAGAAAGAAAAGGTAAAAAGCCAGGAGAATGCTCCAAGGAAAGTGTCAATCCAACTGCCCTTTTTGTATTTTTGTAGTTTCCTTCATGAAGTCAAACTTCAAAACATCCAAGAGGCTGTGGCAAGGCTGTTCTGGGGAGTTTGACTGAGCTGGGCACTGGAATGAGATTTATAAAGTCCAGGAAAATAAGTGTAGCTCCATAATTAGAGTGACCTGGGTCCAGAGGCCAGATCCACTGTCTGTTAATGCATGGCCTTCAGCAGAACTATTTTATCTCAACTTCCATTTCACCATCTGAGGAGTGGGGGCAGGGGAAGGGGGACTGATGATACCAGCCTGGAAGGATGGTTGCAGGGATTACATAATGCATGTAAAAGCAGCTGGCACAGAGTAGGTGCTCAAGTAATGTTTTCTTTCCCTGCTTTCCAAAGGGCAAACTGCTCCTATTAGTAGACACCAAGAAAACAAATCTCTGAGATTGGCATGAAGCAGATGTTGGTGTCAATATTGGGATAATTCAGGCTAAAGTAGAAAGGGGTGGGAGGGGGATAATGAGTAGCTCCAGTTACCTGTATTCTCATCTTTGGCAGATGAGAATTTGACATTGCCTGGTACAGACACCCTTCCCGTCCAAACTCTTATGCTGTTTCTTTTTGAACCTCAATATTACCATCAGGAATCAGAGTTCCTGGTACTGGATATCGAGCAGATGCAGGATAGCAGGTTAATGGTTGGAAATAAGGCATAAGAAGCAAGTCTTCCGGAAGAAGACATTTGCCCTTTCATTCATTCATTTGAATTTACTGAGCACTTCCTATGTGTCTTAGTTCAGCCTGCTATAACAAAAATGCCTTAGATAGGGTGGTTTAAACAACAGAAATTTATTTCTCACATTTCTGGAGGCTGGAAAGTCCAAGCTCAGAGCGCCAGCAGACTCAGTATCTGGTGAGCGTCTGTCATCTCTCTTTCTGCTTTGCAGACAGCCACTTCCTAGCTAAATTCTCATATGGCCAATAGGGACAGAGAGCCCTGGTCTCCTCATCTTAGAAGTGAACTAATCCTTATCATGGAGGCCCTATCTTTATGACTTCATTTTAATCTAATTAATTCCCAAAGGCTTCACCTCCAAATGTCATTACACTGGGGATAAGGCCGTCAACATATTGATCTGGGGGGACACAGACATTCGATCTATAGCACTATGCATGCGGTAGACCTTGTGTTGGGTGCTGGAGAATTATAATATGATAAGGCTCCTGCCCCAGTAATGGCAGCCTAGCAAGAGACATCTGCAGGTAAACTACTACCATCCATGCCATGTGGTGAGTGCTTTGGGGGGCGGGGGGGATATCGGAGATCTATGGGACCTCACGTGGATATATTTAATTCTCACCAGGGGTGGTCAGTGAAGGCTTCCTGGAGCAGGTAGCATTTGAGCTGGCCCTGAAGGGGATGTGACAGGTACCAGCAGCCAGAGGAGAAATTTCTACAGTAGGATAGGGAAAATCCTGAAGGCTTCACTCTCAGAACACATCACACCCCCGCGGAATTGGAGAGAGGAAACAGAGGAGCGAGTGGGAGGAGAAAGTAGGCAGGTGCACATGCTCACGCTCAAAAAAAAAAAGAGAATCTGTCGGACCTGCCTGTCCTCCCTGCTCTGCCCTGAACTTCATGGGCTGGGTGGATGAGAGCTGGAACAAAGGACTTTAAGCCGCGGTGTTCGCTATTGTCCACTAGAGGTTGTGATGACACCGAAGGAATCTTCTCGGAAGGCAGCGAGGCCCAGCTGCTGAGCACAGACAGCATCACACAGCCCTGGGTAAACACTGCTTTAGTGGATTTGCATGTTTGCATAATCCTCTGGTTACTGTAGTTCCTTAGAAGCATCCCTTTGGTGACTGTGACAATAGGGAGCAGGGCAGGGAATAGAACTGCTTTGAGGAGAGGGTA